GGCCTTTTGACCTCTAAATCAGACGAGTACAACGCCCACTTCACCGCAGACGCTGCGCCGATCCGTCTGTCGACCTCCCTGGTGAACAAGATTTCGAGATACTTTGACTCCTCCCCTCAGGGCAGGACATCCTCCTCGACCCGGAGAAGGCACTCTACTCTTTTCTGGCTCATTATTTATGCATTGATTTATATCGCTATACATTTTTATTTTATTTGTTGAGAAGATAAAAGAACAAACCTTGAACACATTGATCAACAGGTTTTGCATGTCATTCAACACATTCTCTCGCTCTCTCGTGGTTTTCTTATCCGGTGGGTCAGACACACACAGAGACACACACAAATAATACACAATAAAGCATAGGCGCCAGTGTTAGCTCGTTGGGTAGAAAACTAATGTTAGCTAAAAGGCTAATATGTTGATTCAAGACAACACTGTCAAGGTACTCATGATTGTTACATTTGTGAGGTAAAGAATTAAGATACTTATCTCTAAGAGTTCTTGTGTAAAATATCATCACTCAGGAGTGACGCTTAGGACTCGGTGTGTACGCTTCACAAACATGTTTTCCTGTCTCAGTCGGTAAGAAACAAAGATTCCCATTAAATTAAATGGGAAATGAATGCAGGCCAGTTTTGACCCACTCACAGAAGAAAGGGGTAATAATAAAAACATGATATTTCTTAAAATGTAGAAAAGGTCAATTAAACATTTGAATTGCATAATATCAGTAACATATTTTTGAGGAATACCTGGAATATGAAGTGATTAAAAACTTTTCATTACAAAGATATTGCAAAAAGACGATCTCACTGGGTCCAAAAGGACTGACCCACTTACAGGGTTAATTACTGTGCATTCATTTAGGGCAGCTGTGCCCTAAATGAATGCACAGATGCACTGTTGCTTTGTGCGTCTGTGTTTCTGAGGTTTGTGTTGCCGCCCATGACATGGCCAGAGAGGAAGCAACGACGCAATAATAATGGCAACGGTACTTGCTTTAGCATTTATAAGTATTTATAGTAATAGTAATGATATATTTTATTTAAAATGCTCTTTCAGGGCACATAAGGTCACCTCACAAAAAAATTAATTTAAAAGAAAAAATTCCAAATAAAGAAAATAAAAACCCAAGTGAAATGCCTGTTTGAACAGCAGCGCATTCAGCCACCATTTAAAAACAGTCCTTTGAGTGGGGAATGTGGAAAAAGCTTCTCTAGATAGTTCATCTAGACAAGCTTTTCTAGATACAGTTTAGAGATATATAGAGAAGCTTTTCTAGATAACGTTTCTCTATTGTTGAGACTATAAGTCTAGTTAGCATAACTATAGAGACATTAACCTTTGTGCATATGAAATATTGGATCTAGCATGAACATTTTGGGTAGACATTTTACGATAAGGTGAACTTACATAAATTTATAAAGAGGATTTTGCAGATAGACAGGCCCGCACTCCCTCAACTGCTATGCAGACATGGAGTCTATCTGCTATCAAAACAATACATTTCTTGGTGATCGGTTCAAGAGTTCAGTGAAACATTAAAACTTTAAAAAGCCTTCTTCAAAGTATAATCAAACGTATTAAGATATTTTCTAAGCATTAAAACTTGTTTTGAATTAGTTAGTTTCTAACCATGCTATTTAGAGCTGACTGCATTTTTAAACATGAATTCATTAAATTATAAAGAAATAAATTATTGACATTTTTGTGCGGCTGGTTTTTGAAGCTGCTGACTTACCCTTCCAGTTAGTTCCCTGTTTTTCAATCTAGTTTAGGTGGCCTTGCTGTCTCATATCACCTTCCACTGAATTTAATAACACACACGTTGTGACATGTTAACAATGGATTAGAGTTGTAACAGCTGAAAAACGTGCAAGGGACAAATACAGAAAATGCAGGAGGCCTAAAATATCAACTCGAGATAGAAATGAAAAAAAGCTGCTCCCTCCTCACCATGCACTCCGTGTGCTTTATATTTTACTTATTTGCCGATCAAAAAATAATTTATTTAGAATAATCATAGCTACTGCAGTGTGTGTAGTATATATTGTAAAACTAAAGAACGACTTTCGTCCTCGGTTCCTGTGTTCATAGTAAAGAGCCGTTCGAAACAATCGGATTATCGGTGAACAATTTCTATCATTTATTCTTTTGTCTTTAATTTGACAATTTATATTCCGCTCGAGAATTTTGCTGTAAAGCCCCGACTGCGACCAACAGACAGAAGAACCGTGTGAAAAGAGCCGATGAGTCCGCTGTTAAACAGAACGCTGTATGGAGGCGGAGTGATCCGCTGGTCGGTACAGCGGTCCGCTGTTAAACAGAACGCTGTATGGAGGCGGAGTGATCCGTTGGTGGTCCGCTGTTTGACAGAACGCTGTATGGAGGCGGAGTGATCCGCTGGTCGGTACAGCGGTCCGCTGTTTGACAGAACGCTGTATGGAGGCGGAGTGATCCGCTGGTCGGTACAGCGGTCCGCTGTTTGACAGAACGCTGTATGGAGGCGGAGTGATCCGCTGTTTGACAGAACGCTGTATGGAGGCGGAGTGATCCGCTGGTCGGTACAGCGGTCCGCTGTTTGACAGAACGCTGCATGGAGGCGGAGTGATCCGTTGGTCAGTACAGCGGTCCTGACGGGGAAACCGGACCGGAGTCTGCTAGCTCTTTATGCTATCATGGACCACTGAAGGAGCTGATTTCTGTTTTTAAAGGTGGATCAAGTTCACCAGTAATCGATAGACACCATTGTCAAAATGTTTCTAAAGTCACAAACAATTTTTTACTGACGTTGATTGTATTTAAATATATTTTTGTAGATTAGAAGTAACTGTTTTCTGTCACAAGCTTAAATGCTAACTGCCGTTGCTATAGTTTTGCCAACTCAGCATCTCCAAAATACAAGACGCCTCAATTATGACATCACATCGTCTCCCTAAACATCTGATATTTAAGCTTTTTCCATGCAACATAATGGATCAATAGAGGGATTTAATCAACAGAATGTTTTTATATTTTTCCTTACAACTTTTCAGCTGGTAGTTGGCCTCAGTTATTTCAACATCAAACATTGTAGATTTAAAAATCAATGGAATACCAACCTGGATTTTTACTCAAAATTATATGACTTATTTATCGTTAAACTTTATTTAAACAGATGATATAAATTGTTCTCCACTCATTAAAATAATATTTTCGAATTAGCCGCGATTTCTGACTGCAAAATGTCTTTGCAGATGAGGGACAGATACTTTGCTCTATTTTGTCGGAGTGGAGTGACATATAGTGTTTGTAAATACGTGTTGCATTTCGATACATTTAAATGCACACCTAAATGGAAATGTACTTAAACATTTGCCTTTAGGTATGATGATAAATGTGACTTTCTATTACTCGAAAATAAGTATGCAAGTAAAATGTACTGCCACCTGCAGGTGGGAATTGGCATCACTTCAAACCAGTGACTTGACTATTTTTACATGTATAAAACTAAAATATAAACAAATGTATCTTCTAACGACTCGTATGAAACTTAAATATTCACAAATTTAGCTGATAATTAACTACTAGGTGGTGCAAAGGTTGGAATGTATATAACTGTTAGAAATATTAAAAAAGCCTGGGAAAAACTATGAAATAATTAAATAAAAGAAATGATTTAAAACATAAGTCCATAAATATAAAGCTAGTGGACATAATTTCCAGTTCTTTTGGGGGGTCAGAATGCAGATCATTGGGCAGGAAATCCATCAGGGGGCGCCAAAGGACCATAAAGTTTTAAGTTTTGCCACTTAATTTTGCACCTAAACTCTCCATTGGAATAATTTCCAAATATTTCTCTGTGCGATTGAGTTAAGAGGTCTCATAAACCTAGTTTCACAGAAAACATTTCCAATTTAAAAATGGTAGTTTATCAGTGGGCTAAAGTTGTTTTTTTTGTTTGTTTTTTTAAACCTTTTACTCTTATCTGGGGGAGGTAGACACTTGATTTGTACAAACTCTGGTCTCATCTATTTAGTTATACATTTCCAGAACTTTGATACAGAGGAGCATTCCCATAGAAATGCATCATACACTATATTGCCGAGTATTTTGTGAAGATTGTTTTTGCTCCCTGACTTTTGTCTGAATCTCAGTCTCTGAATTGTTCACAATTCAACCAAATGATCGGAATCAGGTTTCCAATCACTTCCATGGCCACAGTTGTATAAAATGAGGCATGCAGACCGTCTTTACAAACATTTGTGAAAGAATGGCTCGATCTCAGTGAATTTCAGGGTGGAAATGTGATAGGATGCCACCTGTGCAACAAATCCAGTTGTGAAACTTCCTCACTCCTAATATTTCACATGCAATTGTCAGCTGTATTATGAGAAAAAGGAAGTGTTTGGCAAGGACAGCAACTCAGCTGCCAAGTGGTAGGTCACGTAAACTGAAGGAGCGGGATCAGCGGATGCTGACGTGCATACTGCGAAAAGGTTGCCAACTTTCTGCAGTCAATCACTGCAGACCTCCAGAATAGCTCAGGAACAGTGCAGAGAGCCTCATATAATGAGTTTCCCTGGTGACCAGCTGCATCCCAGCCTTGCATCACCTGGTGCAAAGCGTCCGATGCAGGGCTCGAGACAAACGGAGAGACCATAGAGCATGCGCTCTGTGAGGTCTCATGCTCTATTTTATTTATTCGCGGATTAAATAAATATAATTCTAAATTAAATAGAGTAATAGCCACTGCAGTGTGTGAAGACTTCCTAAAACAAAAACTACTGCTCTCACTGAGACTCGAGTCCTCTGTTCATAGTGTAAAACCTTTTAAAGAATCTAATTGTTAGTAAACGATCTCATTGCTTTTCTTCGCGTTTTGTAATTTACGCGACTGTTTCTGTTCCGCTGGAGAAATCTCGCTGTCTGCGGTTGTAACCTAACAACGGCTTGAAAAGAGCACCTACGATGTGCACATCCGCCTGGAGTGCGCAGCGGTCCGCTGTTTGATAGAACACTGGCTGGAGGCGGAGGGATCCGCTCGTCAGTGCAGCGGTCCTGACGGCGAATCCGTCCCGGAGGCCTCGGCTGTCGGGGGTCGGTGAAGAAGCTGATTTCTGCTTTCACAGGTATATCCAGTTGGCAACTTATAGGTACCACTGTTAAAAGTGTTTGTAAGTCCAGGATAGTTTGTTTCATTTTAACTTACGTTGACACAATTGTGAGTTTTCATGCAAACGGCAGTCAACAGTTACGACCCAATTCCTCTACAAATGTGCTAACGTTTAGCATTTCGAGTAACAGTAGTTCGCATTCAGACTGGCGACAGTTAACAGTGTCATGTAGGCTTGCCAACTGACCCGTATTAGCCGTCACATCCCGTATTTTAAACCAAATTGAAGTCCTCTGTACCGGACGCTGTTTGTCGTGTTTGACTGCAATTTGTGTTGACAAGCACTAGATGGCGCTCCGCTCCTTACAAACCGAGACATCGATAAATATATGAAGTCAAAAGCGCGGGCAGCTGTGCTTCATCTGCCAAAGGCTTTTCCTATCAAAGTCATAGCTAATTCAGACACATTTACTTTGACGATGAATTTGTAGAAATCTGCAAACTAAATTAGTTTCTATAACTGCAAAATGAAATGGGTTAAACATGTTCGTGGCTAAACGAGAGTCTGAACTTCTCTGAAGGTTTAGAATATCACTGCCTTTGATTAATACCAGTTATTGTTAATCAAATGCAACTCTCAACAGGTGGTTGTTAAGCCTTGATGTAAATGAACTCAATGTTTCAACTGTTGTACAGTTTTCAGGAAGTTTGTTCCAGATTGGTGGCGCATAGAAGCTGGATGCTGCCCCTCCATTTTTGGTCCAGGGGATGCAGAGCAGACCAGAACCAGAAGATCTTTAATGTATTTTGATGCTAAATCATTCAGTACTTTAAAAACTAACAAAATTATTTTAAAGTCTATTCTCTTAGCTACAGGGAGCCTTTGTCAGGGCTTTGTAGCTGGGGTGATGTGCTCTATCTTCCTGGTTTTAGTCAGAACATCAGCAGCAGCGTTCTAGATCAGCTTCATCTGGAGGATTGATTTTATTTATTTCTAAACAGACCCTTTCAGTAATCAGTGTGAAATGCATGGGGGAATTTCTCTAAATCTTTCTGCAACATTAGTCCTTTAACCCTGGAAATGTTCTTTGCATAGGTTGAAATCCGAGGGCCTTGGTGAGTCCGGACCCCCTCAATCTAGAAAAAGTCTAGAACCCCCGCGGAAAAAAATCATACAAGAAACCTTGTATTTAAACAATATTAATATGAAAACGTAAAAAACAAAGAACGAAACAAATCTGACATTCACCAAAGAAAAAAATATTTTTTTATGTCCCCCCCTCCTGCAACTCTTAGAGTAATGGTTTAGTCCAAAGTGTAGGAGGAGCAACAAAAGCCCTGTGGCACAGGGTCAGTCAGTCATTGAAGTCAAGAGGTAGTTGTGGCTCTGCAGCACAAACAAAAATCCCTCCAGTCAGTAAATACTGAAAGCAAAAGACATGCAAGACCTTTAGCTTATTTTCACTGCTGAAGAGAAAGAAATGCATTAATAACAAAAATCAGACTGCAGTTTGTTATTTCATTACTTTGGCTGAATCATGTTAAACTGCCTTGTGATGCCTTGGAAAGCAAAACTGGCTACATTGCTTTGATAGGCATACGCAGATATCAACTATATTTAGCTCTCCAACTCTTCCATTAATGAGAAGAGTTTGAAACGGGGGAGCTAAGCGCTGCAAGTAGCCGACAGCTCAGTGTGTGGGAGGAGAAAGCAGAGAGAGAAACAGAAATGTATGCCTTTAGTTCTTACCATCTTCAACACAGAGCCTCTGAAACCACACAGGTACACAAAAAAATCTGAATATTTTTCTATAAAAACCTTGGTGCTTTGAGCATTAAGTTTAAGTTATGATACTTCCCAGATATTCATTATTTTACAGACTTTTAGATTAAGTAAATAACATAAATTGTATTGCGAGCCACTACAATAAATCAATATTTATGAGGAATTTTATCAAATGGAGTTACTCATTAAAACTTTTTATCATGAACCTTAAATTTTTGTAAAGGTGCAGCAGAAATTAGATCTGCGACACTGAATCAAACCCAGACTGTAACTTTGCCGACCCTCATCTCCAAATTGTTCTTTAAAACTTCTCTGTTTATTGAAAATAATGAAATGGGATTTCCTCCCTTGGTTCTTCAGGTGATAGAAGGCTGACTTTGTAATTATCTTTATGTTCTGATGCTGCATCAAATCCTGATGTCTCTTAAAAAGTGGAAGAGGAACCCACCTGCTTTCTTGTGAGCTACAGCTGAGATCGTTCAAGGAGACATTGGACATTTTCTAACGTCTCCATCATTTTCTCTGTAAAGGATGGAGGACAAAGTGGACGAAGAAATTTATTCTACAGTCACCGACATCCAAGACGAACCTTCTCCTCAAAGTAAGTAACTCTAGATATGTTTTATGAGGACTGAAAAGTAGCAGTGCTACCCACGTTGTTGTGTTCGTTTTTTTTTTACATCACAGATGAGCTTTAATGTCTTTGAATCATCCCAGAGCTCTCTCAGCAAATCAAGTTTAAGACAATTTAAAGACCTTCATATGATGAAAACATAAAACATGGAGAAGCTATTCTGCTGTGGCATAATAAAAGAACGTAAATACGATTTGGAGAATGGACTTATATTAAACTTATATACCTTATCAAGTTCATTGTTTCTTTCAGGTAAAGAAGAAGAAGATGATGAAGAAGAAGTGCAACAAGCACTCACCAAGTCTCGTCTGTATTTGGTGGGCGGTGTGATTTTATGTGGCATGGTAGCTGCAACAGCTGTCTACAGTGAGTTTCACATTACCACATCCATCCATCCATTCACTGATCTCCAGCTGCGTTCCGGGCGAGAGGCGGGGTACACCCTGGACAGGTCGCCAGTCTGTCGCACCACATTACCACAGTATACTTTGATTATCTTCCTATATGACGAGCTTTTAGGATCTCATCCTTGCTTTCATTGTTTTAATCCTTTTTTTAATCCTTTCTCATCCTTAAATGTAAAATGATTTCTACATCTTAATCTTATAAATAGCAGTTTTTGGTCTTTGAATTACCGTATTTTGCAGACTACAAGTCGCTCCAGAGTATAAGTCGAACCAGCATTAAAATGCATAATAAAGAAAAATTACATAAGTCACACCAGAGTATAAGTCGCATTTTTGAGGGGAATTTATTTGATAAAATCCAACAATAAGAACAGACATGTCATCTTGAAAGGCAGTAAAAATAGAATAGGGGCAACAACAGGCGGAATAATTGTACGTTATGCTAATGTTACATGACAAACAACGACCTGAGAACATGCCTGGTATGTTAACATATTAAGAGTTATTCAGATAACTAAAGCATACATAACATGCTGACAAGTTTACCAAATCATCCGTGTCACTCCAAATCACAAAACACAATGAAATCTTCATCCTCGGTGTTGTTTTTAAACAACTCTGCTAACTCCAAAGGTAGAATAACAGTCCTGGAGCGCCCTCATGCGGTTAAGTGTGAAAATAACGTGATATCAAATAATGATGTGTTAATTTCCACACATAAGTCGTTCCGGGGTATAAGTCGCACCCCCGGCCAAACTATGAAAAAAACTGCAGCTTATAGTCCGGAAAATACGGTACTCATGTCATACAACATATTTTCCACTAAGTTCCTTTTTAAACAGTTTTTTAAGCTGGTTTATATTTGTACTTTGTTGAACTGCTCATTCAATCAGTTCCATAGATCTTCTCTATACTCTGATAAACAAAAACTCTTTGGTTGTTCTGGTCGCTGGCAGAGTAATGATTATCAGATTCATTCATGCTCACACCTGGTTTCACAAGGCCGCCTTTGTGAATTCCTTCTCATTTTCACAACACACCCGTTCTGGTGCTTTGGGCACAGTTAAACGATTTCAGCTCGCCAAGACAACAGAACCGCATTCGTTCTACCGGGATCTGATCGACCCACTGAATTAGATCAGGCCTCAATGCCTTTCGTTCAATATGGTGTATATATGTAAAGAAGCAAAAAAAATAGTAATAATACAAAGACAAGAAGACAGAAGAGAAAATTAATTAAAATAAAAGTAAAACAAATAAAAGAAGAATTAAAACCACCCATGCAAGATACTCTTGATTTTGACCCAAAACTACACACTCCTCCAAATTTTTCCAACATACAGGGTACTTTATTTTGGAAAATGATGTCTACCCTATCTGGAGTTTTAACCAACCCCCGGACCCATCCCATCTAAATGTAATCTATTAACCATGGGTTCGTATTGATTCTGATGTTGTCAGATACTCAATCCCCCAAGCACTATAGTCTGGCTGCATGACATTAGACCCAAACACCACACACTATTTCTGAATTTCTCCAGGGTACAACCCGTTTTCCCACGGGGCTTTTTTTTGTAACTTGATCAGTTTCTGCCCAGAGTTTCAACTGTCCCAAAACAACTTAATTTCTATCCATGGGTTCTCAACAATGCTTTTGCCAATAATCTTGTAAACCATATACTTTTTACCATTTTAATTTTCTCCAAAACAATACGACAAAGTGAATGTCCCTCTTTCAAAACCTTTCAAAATCTTGGAGGCCAGAAACAAACTTTTCCGGCCAGCAATTGAGCTTTGCAGTTTGATATTTTGAAAGCAAACCGCCAGCAGAAATAAAACTTTCTGCCCACCATTTTAGTTGTGCATACACTGTCACCACGGTCTGGGATCTTCCGTGAGGAGGGGTCCTGATCTCAGAAGCCCAAAAACTAGCTTAGATGAGCCCCCAATTGTTGTAGTGCAAACATTTTTATCTCTGTGCACCATTCAGCTTTGTTTACCAGTTTTGGGACCCCACCGGAACCCTGGGTGTAAATTACCTTGAGAAATAATGAGATTTGTTTCTGTATAAAACAGGCTTTTAATGCAGAAAAGGATCAAATGTTACAAGTCATAAAAATGACACAGATGGAGTGACATCTGTCTCCAACGTTTATTGAAGATGTTGCTGCTATCAAACTACAGAAATGGCTGACTTAGGGAGAAGAATGCTATGTGACCTGGAGGGGACGGAGCATGAAATGTCTCACTCACATTTATAAAGGCCATATTAAAACAAGTTGCTTTAAAACGCGCTACGAAGTCTGTGGAGCTACAATAACGAGGAATTCAGACCAAAGCATTGCAGTTCTACTTTACATAAGCCGTAAGTCAAGGGTGCCCAAAGTCATCCTCGGGGGCCGTCATCTAGCTTGTCTTAGCTCTCTCTGGTTTTACGTACCTGGATCCAACGATGGCTCATTAGAAGGCCTAAGAAGGACATGCACCTGCTGAAACGGTTGTTGCCACCATCAGGTAGAGAACTAAAACCTGCAGGATGCCGGACCGACTTTGGGCACTCCTGCCATAAGTGAATGATTTACATGGGAAAAAAAAGATTTAAAACCACTTCAAGTGGAGGAGTTTAAGGATCTTTGTGTCTTGTTCATGATGGATGGTTAGAAAATCAGCACAATTATTTCAAAACTTCCGACATAAAAACCTTGCTCAGGCATTAAATACTATAATTAGCATAACAATCTGAGGACACAGAAATGTTGCATACAAACTCTAGTGATTCAAACCCTGAACCTTATTGCTGCAAAGAAACAGTTCTACCGCCATGCAGCCCCAAAAGTAAGAATGTGAAAGAAATATTTAATAATTTCACTGTTCTTTGGTGGTAAACTGAGAATACTGTCTGATATCCTGAAAAGATCTGAGAGAGAAACTGAAAGTGTGGTTTCTCCTCTGATACTGAGAGTCACTGACTTTCTGACTATTTTGTGTGCTTTTATAGTGAGTATAAAGTCGACTGCGCTACAGGAAAGTATCGATGATCTTACAACAGACACACAGAACCTGATGGAGAGAAGGATGACGTTGAAGGAAGACATCGAGCATCTGATAGAAGAGAGAGAGACAGGTTAAACAATTTCTAGATTGCCTTTGAACCGTTTGACTATTTGTGTTATTTTTAAAATATGGTTCTAATTTTCAGTTATAAGTAGCTGTTCAAAACATTCCTAACCATTATAATCACAGGTTCAGTCCTGATGTCTGACAGTAAGGTGAGCCGGGGATTTGGCTGGGCTGGAGAAAAATGTACCCATTAGCAACAAGTTTAGAGTAAAGTCTTGATTTCAGAGAATATTGTTGTTTTTGAGAGAACCGAGAACAGAGCCCTGTGGTACGCCACTTCTAACCAGAATGGTAGTTTAACTTAATCACTTTCCATTATTGATCTGCACTCTACCTTTGAAGTCTTTGATCAGTTTTGACGAGTGAAACTTTAAATATAGACACTGGGATTTTTATGCTATTTTTGTATAGCATAAAATAGCATGCTATTTTATGCATGCTATATATTCTTTCATGCTATATCAGAAAGAATAATATTCTTTCTGATATTATTTGACCAAAGTTTCATTTCCTTCTGCTCTCTCCCCTTGTCGAATGGAACCAGCTTGTGACTCATGTCCAGCTGACTGGATTCCCTACAACAACAAATGCTACCTGTTTTACGACAGGCCACCTCGTTGGAAGACCTGGGAAGAAAGTCGAAGGATCTGTCAGATTAGACGATCAGATTTGGTTGTAATTGATGATCTGGAGAAGCAGGTAAAATCTAACACTATAAATCTAAAGCTTATCCCAAAGTTTTTGGAAAATTTGTTGCTTGAAGAAGATTTACGACAATCTAGAAAAATTTGTTCACAGAAATTTGTCGCCAAACACATCAAATACTACTATGATAAAGACCATGGATACTGGATGGGGTTGCAAGAAATTAACAAGACCTGGATCTGGGTTGATGGACGTGTAGACACTCTTGGGTAAGAACTATTATCTAAAAATATACAACCTTAGTAAAATGTAAAATGTTTTACAAGTTTGTAGAAGAGTTAAATATACCATACTTTCCAGACTATAAATCGCAGGGTTTTTTTATAGTTTGGCCGGGGTGCGACTTATGTGTGAAATTATTAACACATTATACCACATGGTATTCACACTGAACCGCATGAAGCCGCGCGAGGCCTGTGTTAATAATTTCAACATTGGCGGTGTCATGAAGTGGTGTGGAGGAGGTGGTGAGGCAGACACTGGGGGCCCAGGTAAGGTAAGGTGGTGAAGATTTAATCACAAAAAAACAGTCCAAAACAACAGTCAACAAACAAGTCCGCGGCCAGGCAGCAAGGCTGAGCTGAAGCCAGGGCTCGCACCGGTAGCAACTGGTCAAATAGGCGAACAGCACAAGCAAACAACATGGACGTCAAACAATGACAAAAACCCGGCGAGGAACAAAGGACACGGGTGGGACTAAATACACTGAGGGTGATCAAGGGAACAAGACACACCTGGGAGTAATCAAGGGGAAGACAGGACAACGAGGAGAACTCAGGACACGGAGAAACTCAAATAAACACAACAGGCGGTAACTAATTCATAAAAACCGAGAAGGGCTTAGCAAAAATGGCACTGTTGGAACTATTTATTCTTTATCCATTTCAATTTCGTTTATTCTTAAACTTCTATTTTTTGTATTATTTACAGAGTTTATTTGCAGGTTAATAATTGTTGATTTTATTATTATTTTTTTATATGTCATTTATCTTATTTATTCTTTTTGTAGTCAGATGGGAAGTAAAGTGGGTCGGTCCGCTTTCTAAAATGTAGGGCTTGGTAAAGGACCAGCAGGCATTTGGGTTTAGGGCCTATGGTTTTTACCAGAGCAAGAGAAATAGATAGGACAGAGGTCGGCAACCCAACATGTTGAAAGAGCCATATTGGACCCAAAAAACGAAAAACAAATCTGTTTGGAGCCGCAAAAAAGTAAAAGCCATATATAAGGCTTTTATATAAGGCAAAACAGGCTCTAGGTGTTTATATTAGCGTATTATCAAAATGACTAAGTGTATACAAAATTAGTATTCATGATTAAATGTTTGTTTTCCCTGTAGTGCGTCCTGGAAGAAATGACGCATCACGTGACTCTTCTGTTGTACGATGGTGCTTTATGTTAACCTTCTGTTACAACATGAATGCATTTACAAAATTAAAGAAACGCAATAAAGAAATCAGATTCTTGATATTATTTTTATTATGAAGAGCGACAGGGAAAGTGTCATTATTTTCCCTTTTTGGATCACAGAAAATCTGCCCCCAGTTTGCATAACGACGATCGCTCTTTGTGAATAATCACCGTTAAGCGTGTGATCAAAAAAACAACAAACGGAGTGTAATAAAACGGCAGCCTTTTGAAAACGTAAAGTATATAAAATCAATAGAGTTCAATTTATGCGCAAATGCCAAGCAAATCAGTGCAATAGTAACACACAGCAGCCATGAGCAACCCGACCTGAGCAACGACACAAAATAATGAAAAAAACAACACTAAATGTATACTGATGAAAATTACTGGATTGCTTATTGATGTATGTTTTCAGTTTTTTTTTTTTTTTCCAAGTTTCGGCTTTCATTGAGGTGCGCTCCAGTTAGTTATTTGACAACTTGTCGCTGCAGAGCGAACATTCAGGCAATCCGTCCACACTGGCAACGAATGCAGAGGATTCGGTCCAAGAATTGTATCATTGAATGTTTCTTCTACACATTTTTATAGCATTGGAAATCGTTAAGAATGATTGTGTCGTGTTTGTCCTCCTACAGAAACCATAATAAACCAAAAAATATATTTCCCAGCCCCATCTTTTCCCATTTTCAAACATTTTTGATGAAGCTCCAAAGAGCCACTAGGGCGGCACTAAAGAGCCACATGCGGCTCCGGAGCCGCGGGTTGCCGACCCCTGAGATAGAAAAACAAAGAGAAGTTTGAATGTTGTAATTGCTTGCTGAAAAGGAAAATATAAGCAACCAAGACAGTCAACAAGTTTGGACATTAAACTTCCTTTGGCTGCGTGAAGAATCTTGACTCCAGTGCTGTATAGTGGCTGATGAAAGTTTTTATTGGATGTTTGGTTTGACAAACAATCGCCACTAGACACACCAAAAGGTAAATTATATTCTGCAGATTACAAGCTGCAAGTAGTAAAATATGCAGCCGAAAACAGTAATCGAGCAGCAACAAGAAAGTTTGGAGTTGGCGAGAAACTTGTAAGGGACTGGCAAAAACCGGAAGTTATTCTTACTGAAATGAAGAAAACAAACAAAAAAACAATCGCAAGCTAAAAGCTAGGTGGCTCATGGGTGCTTGAACAATATGCTGTCATGCTGCAGGAGGACCTTCTTAATGTTATCACTCAGCAGTCTGAGATTCACTGTCCATCGCTGGGCGTCACTCAGCTTAGGGCTGACACCAAGTAAAGCAAAGATTGTAATGCGAGTTTAGCTTTTATTCTACTCCTCATTTTGAACCCTAATCAGTCCAATTAGTCATTTTGTTTATGTGTGTCGCCAGTCTTGTGTGATTATGGTTATGTAAGCAGCAATGTGCATGTAAGCAGATAAATGACATAGATGACTCATAATCCATAACACTATTTTTGTTGCTTAATATAGCTAAGAGCAAACTGCAGCTGGGTTTTCTTGTGCCTTTGGGTCAGTGGTGCTGAAGGTGATTGAGTTCAGGCATGGAGACCTTCAGTCCTCAGTCTGTCCTCACTGTGGGACCTGAACCCTCTGGCTGATGCCACCAAGCCTTGCTGCTGGTCTTTTGCAGTCAGTCGATGGTTTTTGACCAGCTGCCTCCTTGGGAATGTGGGTGAGGGCCGTCATTGTTACATCAGGAAGATCAAGATAAAACAGCTGGTTTACAAACGCAGGCCCATCTGAAGACATCTGTTCAGAGGGACGAATCATTTTAACCCTTTAACTGCCCACTCAACCATATGGTTTAGCACATTTTGGGTCTCTATCTCCATATGAGGAGTGCCTAACTTAGCTTAACCTCATTGAGCCATCTCTGTCGCTTGGTTGAGGTACGATATGCTAAAGAAATCCACTACAGGGCTCTGCTTCTTTAAATAGTATTCTTCTTCCCCTCTCCAACCAGGAAGTCAGAAACACAAAAAATCTGTCACAAATATTGACTGGTTGTGGTAAAACTTTGAAAGGCAAGAATAGTTTTCTGGCATATTATAGTGTTCTAGACCTTACTAAACAGAATTATGTTACTTGATACCACCTAAAAAGCTAAATTAAAGGTCTAATAATTTTTTCAAAATATGCTTGACCAAACGGTTGATTTGTCACTTGATGCTAAATGTAGCAAATCAAGGTAATTTAGTTAACTTTTTTTTTTTGGGTATAAAATCAAAAGTCATTTTCATCTATTGGTGTAAATAGGAAACAATAAGTGTTATTACAATGTTATACACTAAAAATAATTATAACATCATCCATCCATCCATTTTCTGGTTACCCTTCTACCTAACGCGGTCGGGAGTTGCTGGTGCTTCTCCAGCTGCGTTCCGAGCGAGAGGCGGGGTCACCTGGACAGGTCACCAGTCTGTCGCAGGGCAACACAAAGACAAACAGGACAAACAACCACACACACACACACACACACACACACACACACACATCTAGGGAGAATCTGGAAAGCCCAATCAACCTGACAGTCATGTTTTTGGATTGTGGGAGGAAGCCGGAGAACCCGGAGAGAATCCATGCACGCACAGGGAGAACATGCAAACTTTGTGCAGAAAGACCCCGGGCCGGGAATCGAACCCAGGACCTTCTTGCTGTATAACATCATCTTACAAAATAATTTTTGTAATAATTTCTTCCTTTGGGAGCAAAAGTGGTGCCAACACTCTGCAAAACGATAAAAGAGCCCCAGATGTCTGTTGTCTTTTGTGACAACTTCTTTACAAGTTTCAACTTGGTTCAGTACCTGCACACTGCCCTTGGTGTCAAGTGTATCGGCACCGTAAAACCGAACTGCACTGGTGGAGCTCCATTGATGACAAAGTCCTGATGCAAAGGGGGCGTGGGACCTGTGACTTTAGGGCTGCTGAAGGGGTTCCTCCAGTGAAGTGGTTGGATAACAAATGGGTCATCTTGCTTAGTAAAGCCTATGGGATCATGCCCTTTTCAACAGTGAAACACTGAAAAACTGTTGCACTTTAGTACAGAAAAAATCAAGATGGGAAAACTAAAAATGCAATATTTCCTTGTTCGATGCAATGTTTTCCTTGGTTGAAATTAAAACCAGTGTTGTGTAGCATTTTGACAAACATAAACTGTATCCAATGCCCCAGACATTTTGTTGTTGTTAATTTCTTTATAAATTTCATGTTGAATTTGGATCAAATACATTTGTTAGATTAATTCTACTTAAGTAGATAATTTGTTAAAAACTTATAAAAGTTTCTCAACAGTTTTAGATGCAATTGTGAAAACAATAACATCTAAATCTGTAAAGTACATACAACTCTTAATTTAATACTAGTCTGGCTTCTTTTTTAAATACTTCTTATTGGTATAGAGACAAAACATGTAGATGCTGCCAGTTATCAGTTTGATGTTAGTGAGCTGCTGTGTGATTTTATTTTATGTTCTGAGGTTCATGTTTCTGTTTTCAAGGTTCTGGATAAAGGAGAACTTCACCATTCTGCAACCAAAAGCTCTGGTGGTTCCAAGACTAAATCCCTCAGAGAGCTGGAAGAAAGAAATGAATGAGTTTCAGAACAAATTCATCTGTGAGCGTGACGCTCGCAAGCCTTAATGTAACTGACTGTTCTCTTAATGTTTCATGCAGGAATATCAATTGTGTCATGTGTATATACAATGCATTTCATCATGACTTTCATCAAATGCTGGTCATGTGATGTCGTCATTCTTATTGTTTATTCTTATTGTTTTTGAACTCTCACTTGATGAACCTTACAGCTGCTTTCCACTTCTCATTGGACACACTGAAACTAGGAGGGCTTTGTCAAGAAAATCCGAGATCATCCCTCTTCCCCATGCTGGAGATTTTAGTTAACAGTAACAATAAATAAAGTTACCTTTAAAATAAGTCACACAAATTACATCTAGATCCAACAGTAGGCCCAGACTGCAATATAAAAAATCTGGTTGTGTATGTTGTTTTTATCTCCTGCAAACTCAGCTTTCATTATACTTATTTTTTCTATCTAATCATAAGAAATTATAGTCAGAGAGAGAGATGAGACAGGAAGAGCAGGTTTCCTGGAAAAAGAGGAAGTAAGTTCCAGCTTGCAGCTGTATAAAAATAGCTGAGACCAGTCCTTGTTTAAAAGCATAAACGTTTTAAAGGATAAAATCTAAACATTTTGAATAATTAGATAAGATTTAAAGTAAAGTACTTATATTAATATTGGTTTACTTATAACAATATTTACACTTGTGGGAAAACTTACAAGTAAAACAAGTAACTGTAACTTTGGTATCAAATAAGAAAAGAGTAATAAGTTGTGATTATCATAAAATTATAAATTAATGCTAAATTAAAGAAACTAAAAGGTTTATGAATGTGATTTTAACATTGAACTTGAAATTGTGTAAAACATGTAACTGCTATTAAAGATCACTGATGATGTGTTGGAGGTGGACAGTAGGTGAAAGGTCAGGGGTCAAATGGGGACTAATGGGAAAGCAGAGATGACCAAGACCTTATTAGGAGATAGCTTGTTGAACAACTTAAACATGTCAGAGACATGGGAGGAAGATTGAGCAACCCTGAGACATTAGCCAAGACCTCAGGACAAAATGTCTCTAAGACAGTGATGGATATAAGTTTATCTGTCCAAACAGTTACCCAATAAAGTACAGCAACAGTGTTAGCCAATGAAAATGCACTGAAAGCGGGTATAAACCCTATATAAGGGGAGAGCAAAAGAGGAATCTTTGGTTGGATCCTCCAGGCAGCTTCGAGTCAAGACCGAGATGGACAAAGAACTCTGCAGCTGAAGAAGAGCCGGGGCCACAGGGACGAAGACTGGCCTGTGCACGGGGACCAACCCATCAGCCCGCAACATGTGGCTTCAAATCGGACTTCTCTCATCGGCTGGGTTCAGACCCCAAGGACAAAGATGAAGATCAAGACAAAGACCCAAGTCCTGTGTGACCTCATCATCCATGCAGAGATGACAGCTCATCAGACCAACAGAGATCCCTGCCTTCATCAATCAACCTCCTCTTCCTCCTGCTACAACACCTTCTTCATCATCGATCCAGTTCTGGGGTTCGAGACACCAAACTCCGTCCGTCTCTCTAAAAGGTTCCCTTTTTAGTTCTTAGTATCAGCGTTAGGGGGAAAGGCTAGATGATTTATTTTACTTTGATTATTTCTGCTACTGAATTAAGCTCTACTGACCCTTGCAAAATTGCTTTACTAATAGAATATTTAGCATAAAGGAAATCTAAAAGATGTTGTGGACATTCAATTAATGAGTCGCCTCAAAGTTCTTTGATGGTAGTAAAATAGCTGTGATGTTTGATTCGGTGGTAAGTAGGTAATGTTTTATAGGTTGCTTTAGCCCAAATTTAAAACAACATCCTTGGGACTCGCCCGAGTCACTAAAACCAACCTGATTCCCCCACAACCGGAGTCGTAAAGCGAAGGAGCGACCGTTAACAGATGTGCTCTGTGGAACTAGTTGGCTGTATGCTGCTCAGTCTGGCTAATTCACAGGGGGAAGAAGGGTGGCACATCTGGATGTAGGCCGTTAGTAGTCAGGCGAATCCTTTCTGGAAACCAGCTTAAACAGAGTTTACTTCAGTTCTGATAGGGTAAATCCCAGCAGATTTAGGAAACTCAATTTACCCGTTAGATGGAGAGCTGGTAGCACACATCTCCCCTCTCAGAAGAGGAAGTAGTGACTGAGAGAATAGAGAGTGAAGGGGTGGGGGGCCTGTGTGGATCATAGGATGCGTCTTACAGCTTGAAGAAAACTTAAATATAAACAAATGTATCTTCTAACGACTCGTATGGAACTTAAATATTCACAAATTTAGCTGATAATTTGGCAACCTTTGCACCACTTTAGGTGGTGCAAGTATACTTAAACATTTGCCTTTAGGTATGATAATAAATGTGACTTTATTACTCGAAAATAAGTATGCAAGTAAAATGTACTGCCACCTGCAGGTGGGAAGTGGCATCACTTCAAACCAGTGACTTGACTATTTTTATATATAAAACTAAAATATAAACAAATGTATCTTCTAACGACTCGTATGAAACTTAAATATTCACAAATTTAGTGAATTTGTAATTAGTAATTAACTACTAGGTGGTGCAAAGGTTGGAATGTATATAACTGTTAGAAATATTAAAAAAGCCTGGGAAAAACTATGAAATAATTAAATAAAATATAAACAAACGGAGACCATAGAGCATGCGCTCTGTGAGCTCTCATGCTCTATTTAATTTATTCGCGGATTAAATAAATATAATTCTAAATTAAATAGAGTAATATCCACTGCAGTGTGTGAAGACTTCCTAAAACAAAAACTACTGCTCTCACTGAGACTCGAGTCCTCTGTTCATAGTGTAAAACCTTTTAAAGAATCTAATTGTTAGTAAACGATCTCATTGCTTTTCTTCGCGTTTTGTAATTTACGCGACTGTTTCTGTTCCGCTGGAGAAATCTCGCTGTCTGCGGTTGTAACCTAACAACGGCTTGAAAAGAGCACCTACGATGTGCACATCCGCCTGGAGTGCGCAGCGGTCCGCTGTTTGATAGAACACTGGCTGGAGGCGGAGGGATCCGCTCGTCAGTGCAGCGGTCCTGACGGCGAATCCGTCCCGGAGGCCTCGGCTGTCGGGGGTCGGTGAAGAAGCTGATTTCTGCTTTCACAGGTATATCCAGTTGGCAACTTATAGGTACCACTGTTAAAAGTGTTTGTAAGTCCAGGATAGTTTGTTTCATTTTAACTTACGTTGACACAATTGTGAGTTTTCATGCAAACGGCAGTCAACAGTTACGACCCAATTCCTCTACAAATGTGCTAACGTTTAGCATTTCGAGTAACAGTAGTTCGCATTCAGACTGGCGACAGTTAACAGTGTCATGTAGGCTTGCCAACTGACCCGTATTAGCCGTCACATCCCGTATTTTAAACCAAATTGAAGTCCTCTGTACCGGACGCTGTTTGTCGTGTTTGACTGCAATTTGTGTTGACAAGCACTAGATGGCGCTCCGCTCCTTACAAACCGAGACATCGATAAATATATGAAGTCAAAAGCGCGGGCAGCTGTGCTTCATCTGCCAAAGGCTTTTCCTATCAAAGTCATAGCTAATTCAGACACATTTACTTTGACGATGAATTTGTAGAAATCTGCAAACTAAATTAGTTTCTATAACTGCAAAATGAAATGGGTTAAACATGTTCGTGGCTAAACGAGAGTCTGAACTTCTCTGAAGGTTTAGAATATCACTGCCTTTGATTAATACCAGTTATTGTTAATCAAATGCAACTCTCAACAGGTGGTTGTTAGCCTTGATGTAAATGAACTCAATGTTTCAACTGTTGTACAGTTTTCAGGAAGTTTGTTCCAGATTGGTGGCGCATAGAAGCTGGATGCTGCCCCTCCATTTTTGGTCCAGGGGATGCAGAGCAGACCAGAACCAGAAGATCTTTAATGTATTTTGATGCTAAATCATTCAGTACTTTAAAAACTAACAAAATTATTTTAAAGTCTATTCTCTTAGCTACAGGGAGCCTTTGTCAGGGCTTTGTAGCTGGGGTGATGTGCTCTATCTTCCTGGTTTTAGTCAGAACATCAGCAGCAGCGTTCTAGATCAGCTTCATCTGGAGGATTGATTTTATTTATTTCTAAACAGACCCTTTCAGTAATCAGTGTGAAATGCATGGGGGAATTTCTCTAAATCTTTCTGCAACATTAGTCCTTTAACCCTGGAAATGTTCTTTGCATAGGTTGAAATCCCGAGGGCCTTGGTGAGTCCGGACCCCCTCAATCTAGAAAAAGTCTAGAACCCCCGCGGAAAAAAATCATACAAGAAACCTTGTATTTAAACAATATTAATATGAAAACGTAAAAAACAAAGAACGAAACAAATCTGACATTCACCAAAGAAAAAAATATTTTTTTATGTCCCCCCCTCCTGCAACTCTTAGAGTAATGGTTTAGTCCAAAGTGTAGGAGGAGCAACAAAAGCCCTGTGGCACAGGGTCAGTCAGTCATTGAAGTCAAGAGGTAGTTGTGGCTCTGCAGCACAAACAAAAATCCCTCCAGTCAGTAAATACTGAAAGCAAAAGACATGCAAGACCTTTAGCTTATTTTCACTGCTGAAGAGAAAGAAATGCATTAATAACAAAAATCAGACTGCAGTTTGTTATTTCATTACTTTGGCTGAATCATGTTAAACTGCCTTGTGATGCCTTGGAAAGCAAAACTGGCTACATTGCTTTGATAGGCATACGCAGATATCAACTATATTTAGCTCTCCAACTCTTCCATTAATGAGAAGAGTTTGAAACGGGGGAGCTAAGCGCTGCAAGTAGCCGACAGCTCAGTGTGTGGGAGGAGAAAGCAGAGAGAGAAACAGAAATGTATGCCTTTAGTTCTTACCATCTTCAACACAGAGCCTCTGAAACCACACAGGTACACAAAAAAATCTGAATATTTTTCTATAAAAACCTTGGTGCTTTGAGCATTAAGTTTAAGTTATGATACTTCCCAGATATTCATTATTTTACAGACTTTTAGATTAAGTAAATAACATAAATTGTATTGCGAGCCACTACAATAAATCAATATTTATGAGGAATTTTATCAAATGGAGTTACTCATTAAAACTTTTTATCGTGAACCTTAAATTTTTGTAAAGG